ATAATTAAGTCAAAAACTATTCAATATTGGAATTTCGAAGGTATTAACGAAACGATTATAATGGTGTAACTTGTTAAAATAAAAATGTATTTTTTAAACATATTTTAATTGATATACAATTATATATGTTAATTTAATAAAAGTGTAAAATAAAAAATTTAAAAGTAAAAGACGTAAAATAAATTAATTAACTAATTATAAGTTATGAAATATAAATTTAATATTTTAATTTTAAAAAATTGGGTTGAATGATGGACGGGAGTGAAAAAGTGACGTAATGGTTTACACACTTTTTTAACGATAAAACTTTGAGTAAGTTACAGATTAGTCCTCGTGGTTTACACACTTTTTACCATAGTGGTCCTAAAATCAAAATAAATACAAATATGGGGATCAAGGTTTACATTTTCGCACTTTCGACTCCCTCCCTCTTACGAAATACAAATATTCTGTTAACCCAATTTAATTCAGGGGTATTTTAAGAGGGGTATTCAAATCAACCGTTGTAGATTACATAACCAATGCAACTAATTTATCGACCATCCATTTTTTTTGTTTTTTTTTTAATTAAGGGTAGTTGCAACCGATCAAATGGCAACTATTGATGATCACATGGACACTCTTGATTTGGTTGTAGAGATTGCAGAAATATAAATGATTGCATAATAACCCACTCCATTATGTGTGTGTATACATATATGTGTATATATATCGACACTAACATTGTACCCATCTTCCAGAACTACCAAATCGCTGGCTTACATCTCAAAATAACTTCAAACAGATGTGAATGTTAACAACGAAGCTGTTATAACCGGGTTTATTTGGTTTGAAGAGTTTGGGGTTGCTTTTGAAAAATGGAGATAAATTGAAGGATGTATTTTGAAAGTTTTGTTTAAAATATTCCTTATCCACCCCCTTTTTTTAATACTAGAAGCGTACTCGCGCAATGCAGCGAGATACATCGTGTTTTTAATATTTCATTTTATTCTTTATCTCAGTCGATGTTATAATAT